AAGTGCATCAGGATAATGATGCCCAGTTCGTTCTGCTAAATGTGCAAATTCTGTTTAGCACATTGAAATACCTCTTTACCACCGCCATCTCTGTATTTGAACAAATGTTCCTTCAAAATAGGCACTAGTAGTTGTCCATGAACGACATTTGTATCATTCAGCGTAAAAATAATACCTGCATGCATTTTATTTACAACATCTACATCATCTATCAGTTTTGTGACTTGTATGATTTTATTCAGCTTGCCTGTCCAAAATTCTATTTGGGTTATAAAATAATGCATAATACGCCTGGAGTGTATACTTCCAAACAAACTTTTTGCTTTCGCCAAGTCTTCAGTACCAAGTGCATCCATTATACCATAAATCTTTCTACCATCATCAATAAAGTTTTTGACATCTTCCAACCCTAAATCTTTTTCCTCCCCACATGTAACATTGACCATATGGTAATGATTGGGTACTTGGTCAAGTAAATTTCGAATTTCTTCTAATTTTGTATTTTTACTGATGTCTGGTGATTCTAGTTCTTCGACAAGATTTTTGAAATTTGTGATTGGTTGACGAATTTCTTCCAAAGTGCAAGGTGAACCTAAAGCTGATATTTTGATTGCACCCAGAAATGCAACTAGTAGTAACTGGTACATGGTTAATCTGGAAATATAAAAATCATTGAATTAAACTAGTCGTGTATAGCATCGTGCCTTAAGGCAAATTGCTGGAACTTCGCGTACCGTAATGGAATATTCGAGAATTTTAAACGTTTTCAAATATATTATTACATTTACTGTTACTTTCATTAATTTTGCTATCTTGTTTGTTATATCTGAGCAAATCAAATGTCAATCATAAATCATAAATCAAATTATCTCCAGAACATTAACAATCGTCATTTCATTTCGAATTCAATTTAAAAAAAAAACAGTTCAATTTACACAAAATTGAAAAAGTGCTCCCGTACAGTCACAGTCTAAACGCATTTGCAAATAATTCTGTGCGACATTTTCACTTATACTGCGCTTAGCTTGGCGGCATTTTCACATTTTTCAATAGTTTTCACAAAAGTGGAAAAGTGCTCCAGTACATAAACAGTCTAAACGCACTTGGGTAAACATTTGTACCAGAGTGGCGCTTAGACTGTGCTTAGCCTGGGTAATTTTTTGAATTTTTAATCCAAAATTACAAAAATATTTTTCCTATTGATCGGGAGATGTGCTGTTTAATTTTTGTCAAAGGCAGCTCCGGCCTTTACGGAGATTCAGAGCAAAGAGTGCAGGAAATACAAATCGAGTTTTTGAGAGAACGGAGTATTGGATTTGAATTATTCAAAAAACATTCAATTTGTAATGATTGGGAGAAGAGGTGATTAGTTTTCGGCAAAGGCAAGTCCATCTATTTAGAAGATACAGAAGAAAAAGTAAAAAAAAAACTATTATTTTTGGCGGTCGAAAATGATCATTACACATATGCACATCAAATTATCAGATATTTCATAGAGATTTTAATAATTTGTATAAATTTTGTTTACATTCCTATGGTTCCGTACCAAGATTTTTAATTTCTAAAGTTCACTTACACGGTTCAAGCAAATTTTAAAATTTTTGGAAAAAAATTCTAAAGTTTCAAAAAAATACAAAATTTTATACTTCAAATATGATTTTCAAATTTACAAGTCAGTTCAAAAAATGTATATATTTTAAATGCGTTATTCGTAAGAAATATATCCTCAGATGGATTAGTTCGGCACCTCTTGCTAAAGTAAACATTTTCAAGTGTTTTGAGCGATAAGATAGTTAGTGTATATTATATGAACAATAAAATATATAGTAAGAATAATTATATTTAAAATATTTAGAACAATTGTAAATAATCATAGATCAATATTTATTGATTATTAATTTTTTTTTGATCAAATATTTAATTCTGGTGCGGGAAGTTCCAGCAATTTGCCTTAAGGCTAGTTTGAATTAGGGTAACAAAGCCTTTCAAGAAAAAAAAAACAAAAAAATTTTTAATGACTTTTTAAAGTGGTCAAAAAATATCAGAATTTTCCAAAGAGCAATTTTTTTAAGTGTCAAATCTTTCAAATGTTTCGAAATTTTTCAAGAAAATTAATTTCATTAAAAAAAGTTTAAAATTTTCAAAAAAATCCAGTTTTTTTCTGAGTTTTTACAGAGTTTAAATTACAATAAGTTCCAGCAATTTGTTTCAAGACACAATGCCATGCACAACTAGTTTAACTTATTATTAGTACAAACTATAAATATAAAGAAAAAAAGTTAGTTAAGACAAACAAAACAAACCTACTTATTTTTTTTATCGTTAGCAGATATTTTTTTAAATCACAATTTTGTAAAGTTTGCACTTTTGCACTCAATATTATTTATATAAATAAACATTTGTCTATATCGAGAAGAGATCTTACTATACTGATTGCATATTCAAAATAATTTATTGCAAATATAGGGTACAGTGGGGCTTAAAGGGCACCACCGACATCTCAAAAACCAGTACAGTTAAAAAAAAAATTAACAACAATATTTGCAAGTAGAGGGCAAAGATGTATAACCAGCCATCACTTTGATTCTTACGGCGTTGCTATCAGGAAATAAATGGCAATGTTAGAAAATCCATAGCAAAAGTTTTATCTTCCGTTGTTAGTTTTTTCTGGTTGTGAGCACTGTTGTTTAGTTTACGAGACCTTAATATAATTTTTATGTATACGTTATTTAATTGTTTAATAAGATGTCCACCATAGATATCTCCTAAATAAAAAGTTAATAAAATTGACAATAATATTTGAAAGTAGAGGGCGAAAGATGTATAACCAGACATCACCTTGATTCTTACGACGTTGCTATCAGGAAATAAATGGCAATGTTAGAAAATCCATAGTAAAAGTATTTTCTTTCATTGTTAGTTTATTTTTTGCTCGTGAGCACTGTTGTTTAGTTTACGAGACTTGAATATAATTTTTAAGTATACGTTATTTAATTGTTTTATAAGATGTATTGTTAATTTTAAGTTAAATTCAACAGTTTTTTTTATATAACCTCTATAAAAGCTTACACTTGTGTGGGGTAAAAAGGACCAACTGAACCTTTACCTTGGCAAATGTGTAAAAAATAAAAAATAATTAATTAAGTTTATAAAGCTTTACAAGAGATGAATTAAATGAATAGTTATTCTAAATGTGCTGATGATAATTTTTGATGAAATACCAGATCAAGGTTATATACAATATTATCTTTGCTAAAAATGTAATTATTATGTTTATATTTTGCGTTGGTTGAATAAAGTAGTTGTTATTTTGTAAAATTCCTTTAAAATTAAAAATAAGGACTCTGTTCAGTCCCAATTTACCCCGCCCTTGATGTAAAAAGAACAACATGAAATTTTTTAAAAAAAAACAGCAAAAAAATAAATTTCTACAAGGATGAATTTTCTGGGAGCTTTACTGAGCATAGTCAGATAGTTGTTTGTTTGATATTTGTTATTTGTTGTGATCAAATCGGTTTGGTTTTTACATAAATTGCTCAAAGTCAAATTAGATCTTTGTGCCCCG